TAATTCCTGCAGGTAGCTTATGTATTCAACTCCATTGACGGGTCAAAGAGAATCGAAGTTTATAGATTCAAGTAAGCATAAAACTAAATATTTGACTATTTTGCTATCACGAACGATTTGGTCAGCTAAAGTAAAAGCAAGTAAGATGTATGATCATTCTAATTTAATTTTATTTCTGTTTAGAAATGGAAGCATCGTTGTTGAATTTAGCATTTTCATAACGCGAGTTTTATCGATACCCCAGGACAACCCACCAGATCTTGTCAAAGAAGTCAACACTATTATGATAGAACAAGTGAAAAAAGGGAGCTTTGGAAACTATTCAGTCAGCCTCGATTCACTCTTTCTTAAAGGTAAACATGTACAAACACTGAGCAGATGAGCGACAAAAAAAAAAAAAAAAAAAAGAAAGAAGAGCAAAAAAAAAAAAAAAAAAAAAAAAAAGATGATGGTGAAAACGAGAACAGTTAGATATAGGAGAGGGTATTCATAGTTCCGACTGAGACTATAGGGAACCAATCACTGTTGTAGCAGTTTCTCCAATGGAATGAAAGTCTTGTCCCACGAGCAACTACACAGTATCTGTCTTAAAGAGTACTACAAGGATTACGAGGCAATTATATACTTTTTTGAATAAACTATTGAAAAAATTTATAATCAATTTTCCGCGATCAGAGTTTTAAATTTTAAGATATTAGTGACCTTAAGCTTCAGGACGGCAACTTGGGCGACAACGTCGGCGAAATTGAGGCGTTTCAACCTTCTATTGTATTATTATTTCGTGTTTACTTAGTATTTTACTCAATGAGCATCCCCGTTTTGGAGTGAAATGACGTCTTTTGGGAGCGCTTTACTTATAACGAAAATCAGCAAAGATAAGCTTATAGAGTAGCCCGTTCTCTCTACATTTCTTACTTTCAGCATAAGACGGCAATGATGCACAGTATTTCGTAAATTCCAACGAGTATCTATTGAATAGCGCAATTAGTGCTATTGTATGGTTGCCGTCGTCGTCGTCGTTGCCGTCCTGCAGCTTAAGGTCCCTATTGTTGGAAATTTGTGGGACATAACAACTGTAACTAAGGGGAGTCGGAAACATGAATCTGGCGTATCCTGTCTCCAAGGAAATGTTCCCGTTCTCTATGAAGGACTCCAAGTTCTCTTGTAAGACCCACTATCAGGACTATTTCTTTCTATTTGTTAATACATTGATCTTGATTTTTATCGAAGCAATCCCTCCTCCACCAATAAACATTGGAGTCATTGATAAAGGGACAATGTTCATCGAACTACATTGGGGACGGCCGGTCAATTGGGAATCATATCAGATAAAAAAGTATATCCTCAAGTACAAAAAGAGCACAGAATCAGTCTTCAAAATGATTGAGAAAATAGATAGAAATGTTTTCGCCAAGGAAATCGAAAATCTGGAAAAGAATACGAAATATGATTTTGAACTGTATTCGGAGAATGCTGTTGGGCAGAGCACTCCGTCTACGTTCAGTGTCACTACATTGAGTGGTAAGTAGTTTGCTACGAACTGTGAGCATCTTTATGCTTCTGCGCTGCTGATGACACAAGTATGGGTCAAATACAGCAGACTGCCTTGCTGGTTACTTAGCTCGTTAGTCTGGTCGAATGATTGTTTGATCGTTTGATTCAATTCATTTTTCTTGTCTTTYCATTTAGTTAATCCAGTCATTGCCAACGATGGACAACAGTTCATTTTTAAAAAGGGCGAAACAGCGGTTATCTTCTGCATTGGTTCAAGTGAAAAAATACCAGATAAAGTCGAGTGGACTTCCGAACGTCCGTCAACAGCAGAGGTGTATGCAAATGAAACAAGGAAGACCAAAAGCATATACATGACCTTCACAAAGGTAAAAGAGGAAAACGCAGGAATCTATAAGTGTAGGACGTCGATGAAGGATGCTGTTGGGGAAGGCAATGTTACACTGATTGTCATAGGTAAGGCTTATGATTCGTAGACTTTTTGACTCAGTGGGCTAGTCGAGCGGGTTCTTTTATTATTACTTATTTCATCTATGATGCACGGGAAGTGGGAGTTGAGTTAGAGGGCTTCAAATTTGCCAAAGCTCCCCATCTTTTGGTTTTATGCGAATAAGGACTTCCCTTTTAAAATACGGAATATATCCCTGGATGAAAATCCAAATGCCTAATGTGGAGGAAAGTGTGGAAACTGTACTCAGGGAATAACATGTGATACTCTAATCACATTAATTGAATATAATGGCTCATCGTTATAGAATTTATTTGCTTATTGAGATCCCCGCCAAATTTTAACATCAGTAGTCTAATAATCTGAAAATATGTAATAATTTCGATTTTACTCGTTTGTTCTTCAGTTCCTGTTGAAGTAAAGCTGAATGCAACGCTTAATGAGACTTTTACAGAAGATTTGAGAAATGAGAAGACACCTAAATACAAGAGGTTGAAAACTAAATTTGAAAATGAGGTAAGATGTGATTATTAATTTTATTTATAATACTCTTTCCCTCCATCCATTCATCCAAATAAAAAAAGTATCGTTCCAGACAAAAATAAGTTCTAGCTTTCCATCAATTACTGAGTGAATCCATCCATCCATCGTCCCATGCAATTCATTCATTCGTTTTTCTATTTTTATTCATTTATTCGTTTTTCTATTTTTTATTCATTTATTCATTTTTCATTTTTTATTTATTCATTCGTTTTCTATTTTCATTTCAAACAGTTAGCTAAAATTTACGTCAATATGACCGGCTTTGTAAGAGTAGAAGTCATTGCATTCACGTAAGTATATATTTCATTAATTGACCCAAAACAGAAGCATGAGTTTCACGTCTGCTTTTCTCAATCGTTTGTTTCTTAGAAATGGCAGCGTGAAAGTAAGATTTCGAGTCATCGTAGAAGTCAAGGTCGGAGAAGCAGAACAGCTAGGCAAACCTACCAGAACAAAAGTGGATGTGACAACTAGAATCATCAAGAAAGTCCAAACGTCAGATGGTAACATAGGTGGAGGGTTGTTTATCAAAAAGAACTCCATCACTTCAGATGGTAAGTTCAGTGACATTGAATAAAAGCATTCCAATAAAGCATCAATTTTATCGAACCCTATTACAACCTTAAGGCTTATCTAGTTAATTCAGGGTACCGTACATAAATGTAAGATGAAAAGCTAAGAAAAAATTAAAGAAAACTCTCCAAATTTTTAAACTCGAGACTGAGTGCTCTGCAACGTGATGTCTCATGATTGCCTCTAGCACATTTGACAAAAAGATCTAAACAAAAACTGGGATCGAGAAAGGCTCAAGACTCTGATCAAAGTATTATTGCCAAATGCAAGCATCGTCTCTTGATTTCCTTCGGTTCCAGGAAATTTAAAACAGTTCTAACAATTCTGCATCATAAAAGCAATCTCATATTTTCTTCTTTTTATTTCTTTTTCTTTTATTTTTTCTTTATCATTTCTTGTAGCTCCGCCTCCCTCTCCTCTTAACCTGACTTTAACAGAAATACACGAAACTATGGCGCATCTGAAATGGCTGCAACCCGAAGGTGCAGACGCGTTTTCTATCCACAGCTACACCATCAAGCTAAAGAAGTTTGGACAAGCATGGCAAGAGAAAGTCACAACACAGCATATTCAGTTGGATTCGAGAATAGAGGAACTTGAAGACGACACACGCTATACTGTGAAGGTGTTTGCTAGAGGTAGCGGTGGTAAAGGGCTGGACAGTGATGTTGAGGAATTTAAAACAAAAGGTGCATGTATTAGATTTATAGATATTTATATATTTGTAGATATATTAGATTTGATTTAAAAGTAACTTGTAACATAATCGATGCAAATGGATATCCGACACTAAAAGGAACCTTAAGCCTGAGGTTTTCAGAGCATATTAATAAATATAATGGATTATTTTCCAAACCATTGGGAATCGATTGTATGTTGCGTTCATGGCTACGTTAAAATATCTTTTCAAATGTTGCTTTCAAATAAAGAGATTATTATAAGAAAATGGCAAGTAAAGAAAGATGGGAAAATATTACAACCAAAGTAAAGGGGCTAATTTATATTTCTATTAACTTTTTTTACCCATTACAAAATAAATTTTGCTTTAAGAAAAACTGTTTTACAATCATAAAATGTTCTTATCTTTCATCTTAGAGGTCAACATAAATCTCACATGGTTGTGGGTATTACTTGCTCTGCTCCTGGTTCTCGGGATTTTGGTCTTCGTAGTTCTCCGCTACAAAAGGAAGAAAAAAGTAGATCATCGATATGATGCCAATGGCAACAGAGCTGGCCAGAGAAGGGCATCCATCCCGGTACGAAACGAGACGGTATGCTGCGAGCCGTCTGTATTTTCTTTTTCGTTCCGTCGAAAATTTACTCAGAATGATGTAAACTTGACGGAACGGTGTCAAACACGTGAGAAAAGCATACGCGTCTGTAGTTGTCTGGATGACATAAAATTAAAAAACAAATTCCAAAATTTCGTATTTCCATTTTTTTTAGTCCAATGGAGATCCTAAAAACGTAACCATCTACTCCTATCGGAACAACGCCTTCGCTCTCTCTTCCATGGACTTTGAATCCCTCGGGCTGATGCCGGGCAAATGGTGGGAAATCCCGCGAGAAGTACTAACTCTTGGCGACACCCTCGGTGCTGGTCAGTTTGGATTAGTTAAGAAAGGAGTTATAGAGGTGGATAGTGGATCAGTGACGTGTGCGGTCAAGATGCTAAAGCGTAAGTTTTAAAGACTTTATCAATCATGGTACGCCTGATCGCTCGTGACAACACAGAAAATGACCTCTCATAGAATTTTCAATTTGAAGAAAAAACCTTCGAATTTTACCAACACATTATTTWAAAAAATCCTGCGCTGATCAAAGTCAGGACAAAGCTAACTCACAGATCGACTGAATTGAAACTTAAAATTTTCCAAGAGAAGGAATCCCCATGTTCGTGCCGTTTGCTTTTCAGTCATAAGAAAACTGCTCTATATAAGCGTTATCTTAAGACACGGCTTTTTATAGATCTGAAATACGTAGATAATCTCTTGGGAACGAGCTTATTCTTTTGATAGCGAAATAATACTCAAGAGAATCATGAATGAACCATRTTTGTTCTAGTTTTGGAAATCCTTTTATTGTCATTGATATTTCAGAATCAGCTGGTGAAGAAGAAGCACGTGATTTAATGAATGAGCTGGAAATCATGGCTGGTGTTGGCACCCATGCTAATCTGGTGAACCTCATTGGTGCATGTACCCATGACGGTAAGAGTGAACTTTGATTAAATTACTTTTATTACACATTTAGGGTCGATATCCGTGTAATAAAGCCGTGAATAAAGACCATATCAGTGAAGTGATACGATATCACTTCACTTTACCTTAAATGTGTAATAAACAAATTATTTCATGTTTAGAGACTGATATCTTTCTTATTCACTCGTTTTCCATATATGATATCCCTCACTCGCTCGCAGACTCGCTCGTCCGCGTTATGATATGGAAACTTGTGAATAAATATCAATCCCTTAACATGTGATAACCTCTATTTACAGCATATGCCATTGAATTAGCCACTCCTATCAACGTTTAAACCATACTAATAACAAAGAAAGGTCAAAATAAAGTAAAGTTGCAGATTCACCACTTTCCATACATCGGTTGACTGGTCAAACACAAAGCATTCAACCGAGGCTGCAAGGTTCAAATTTGAATAATCCTTTAAAACTATATAACTACCCTGCAGCCTCGAGTTAATGCCTTGTGTACGACAAGTGAAGCGATGTATATATGGTAGTGAATAACTTTCTCTCTCGAAAGCAAACAACCCATTTATCTGTTATAACTCAATTGCTTACTATCAATCACGTGACTTTTCGGAGTTGACTTGGGGAAAAGTAGCAGTTGACTGAGGGGCAACTAGTGGATGCTAAGACAAACATATATAAATAAGTCCTCAAACTATTTTATTTGACTATTTCAACGACATGAAACTAGAAAAGAAGAGATCAAAACAACCTCCAAGATTCTATAAGCCATTATAAACTCAGCTATTACCGGAAATGACGTCTATTGCATTTGACATTTTCAGTCGATTTTTTTCACGCTAAAATGTATTCCATACTTCTTTCACATTTCGAAGGACCATTCTTGATCGCGTTGGAGTTTGCTGRTGGAGGCAGTCTTTTGAGTTACATCAAAACTAATGCGATGACCTTGGGCAATGGACAGGAAGCGTCTTCCTTGTCTGATCAAAAAAAGTTAGAGATCGGTTTGGACATTGCTAAGGGGATGCAACACCTGGCTCACGTCAAGGTGAGATATTCCTCTTGTCATCCCTGTTTCACAGGCACCTCCGTTTGTTGGGACATAGGTGAATCTATGAATTGAGTAGGAATACCCTAATGGGGGCTTTGCACCATCACGTGCGGCAGCCATGGGAGATGGCGGTAACAATACAATCGTTTTACATAGGAAAGAATTCAATTCCCGAGAGCAAAGGTATTTTATCGTTCTGCCATCAAACCGCAGGCAGTCCAAGCTATAATATGGGCACTGGCACGTGATGGAGCAAAGTCTCTATTAATTAGGATTGGTGACTAAGGGTGAAAACGATGATTTTGAAATAAAGAATCTCAAAAAAGCTACAAAAGAAAAAAACTAGTTTATTAGCACCTACAGACCTTTTCGGCTTGGACGTACTGTTTTCCCATTTCAGACTACTCGTCATTCCCTAGAGAACCATTTCTTTGTTTAACGGTTGCACATGAAAAGACATGCACCACGTGAATATGGATACAAATTAAACAAGAGAATAAAACGCGCTCTGAAATGGGAAACATTATGCCGGCTGTACTATATCAAATATTCAAAGACTCTTCTCTTACTCAGTGTGTTCATCGCGATCTTGCTGCAAGAAACGTTCTACTCACTGCTGACCACAAAGCAAAGATAGCGGATTTCGGGCTGTCTCGTGATGTGTACGAGCGTGGATTCTACGAAAAACAATCGAAGGTAACAAACGACTTTCCCGAGAACTAGCCGGTTCTTGTCCCATTCCAAAACACTTTATTCACAGGTGGTGTCTGCAGGGACAGACCTTTCCCGAAATCCATAGAAGGACCGAGCAAGAAAACAATATTTTAAAGTTGATCGAGTTTAGACTTGAAAAAATACAGTAGTTCCTGTGTCTAAAGCTATTAACATTTTCTATTGTTTTATTTTTTTGTCATAAATATATTGTTCGGAAAAGTTTCGTGTTTTTCGTGCAGCATTTAATGTATTCTTCTTTAAGTATTTGTGCTCTGACTAATTTTTGTGTCAGTTGTAACTTGTACAAGTAGGAATGATGTCGCTTCTCGTTATTATATTTGATAGACAAGTTTTTCGTTAGTGTGTCGTGTTTCAGTAGTTTCGCACTTATTCATTGTTTTAAATGCATAAACACATCAGTAGTTTAGGTATAGTACCTCGACTTGGAACCCTAACTGATAATACAATAGGTATGCAATACATGGGGAAGGACGCGATTTGTAGGATTCACAGTGCAACGCATCCCTAACTCTGTTGCCCGCCTTGTGATGGCATTACTACCACTCTTCCCAAAATATTAACCTGATCATCGAAAATAATATTAGTACCTGGATAATTTTATATTTCCAGGGCAAACTCCCAATTCGATGGATGTCACCTGAAGCAATACAACAGATGATGTTCACTACAAAAGGCGACGTGTAAGAACATTTCTATGCAATAAAATATTCAACAAAAAAACAAAATGATTACTCATCTTGATATTCCTGACAAAAATCAGGCAGCTTCTCTTAAGACCTTTTTTATTTTTCATTTAATTTTAACTTTATAATTTTTTACAGTTGGTCTTATGGTGTCGTACTTTGGGAGATTGAATCTGGAGGTAACAAAATGTTTAATATTATAGTTCATTGTTTTACCATTTACGAGGCATTTTGCAGGACATGGCCGTTACTGATTGGCAAACAATATCAGGCTTCAATTATGAAAGAGAGTTCTTGCTGGATTGCTTATGTATGTCATAACTACAAAACGTTTTCAACTGGCTATTTTTCTTTTGTGATATGCTTTCGATGTCAAGATACCAAAGTTATCATGCTTGTTTCCCATCCTGCGATAGCCTTTCCCAAGGGACTCTGGGTCATTTTAGTCAAGATTCCTTGGGGAAGGCTCTTCTGGATTTCAAACAAACTTCAAAGGTTTTGGATATGAATATAGTAGTCCAGAATAAGTTATTTGAATAATGAAGCCCAAACTTTTTTGTCTTTCAGTAAAAGTCAGAAATTTTTTTTCCGCTGCAAATGGCCTATTAGACCATTCACCTCACTAATGCTATACAAACAAAAGAATGTTTGCCTACTGGCAAAGCTAATTAGATGATATACTGTACTAATTAAAGGGTTTTACATAGATGTATTGTGATCTCGTGCCTAGGGCTAACAGGACAATTATCCCTGTCAGCCAGCCGACCTGGTCACTTTTCTTTATGGGAAACGGCTCAGCTAGTTTTTACTTTTAAACCTATTTTCGTATTTGGTTATATTTGCAGGCAAACTTCCCTATGCAGGCCTTGGGATGCTTGAACTGATTGATTACTTAAAGAAAGGCCATAGACTGGCAAGACCAAGCCGATGCATACAGGGCGTGTAAGTAGAACGAAAAATTGCATCTCATTTCACTTTAACGTTATCAACAGTCCCTCTCTCCCCTATCCAAGTCGATCGTTCCCTGCACGCGCAAGAAAATAAACATACAACTCGGCTGGGTCTGGAAAAACGAGACACTGATTTTAAAACAGGTGACCAACACTGAAAATCACTCATTAGAATAATGAATCCTTTTTCAGTGTCTTAGTGTTAATTAATACTTCTCAATAGGACTTCTTTGATTTGAATAATCCCATTCAAAAACAAAACAGCCACCTTTTGTCAGGAGCATATCCATGTCGTCAAAAAGAATGTAACCCAACATTTACCTTATCAACATTGAGTCCAATAATTTGACGGGCAAGTGTGTAAAAGGGTTTAAATGCACATGTATAATGCCGACAACTGTTGGCTGAATGTTAGTAAACCATGTCAAACGATGCCAACATTTTAGAGCAAAAGTAATGTTGTGGTGTGGTATTGAGGAACTTTTTGTTCTCATTAAACTTCACCCGAAATTTATCCATTATTATAGAAAGTAAATCTCAGCACTTCAGTGACCCATTGGYCGTACTTGGTGTGCAGCCTAAACAATTTCCTTTGGGCAGGTCAACCTCTGCAACAAGCCATCCCCCCTTCCTAAAAATATATACTGATTTGGACAGGGGAGTCATAAACTCTCAGGGGACCTCCATCCCTTCTGTACACATCTGTTGATACAGATTTTTCCTCCCAATGTAACGGTGTTAGTAAATCCTGATTCGATTCTGTGACAGCTATAACGTGATGCTGCATTGCTGGTACATGGATCCCAACAAAAGACCCACTTTTGATAACCTTTGTGCCAATATGGAAGAACTCCTCTCCCATTCCGACATGGTAAGTGTTATTTCGGAACACCCCGTTCAGGTATTTGGAAGAGATAACTAGMTAAAAACTAGTGTGAGCTGCGTCGGTGTTTCTAATAAAACAGTARTAATAAAAAKKTAAATTATACACCGTGAAAAGATGAAAAAACTTACTGACGTTTCGGACGCTAGTCCTTCGTCGGAGTAAAAGAGTATTCAGTTGGGTACTCTTTTACTTAAAGCTGCATGGCTCACTGATGGGATTGCTGTCTAAGATGATCACGTATGTGTTTGTGTGATTGGCCTGTGTGCTAGTCATAGAACTTCAGTACGTGTGAAATGTTCTATAGAGACGTCACATCGGCCATGTTGGTGTACCAAAGCAATACATTTCCAATCCTCGGGGAAATAAATAAACCCTATTTTTATGCAAAAACTGTGCAGAATTGTTTCTATTGTTTAGTACACCAGTATGGCTGCCTTGTAACGTGAGTCAAAACGCCCTATACTCACTGTTTTCTTATGTCATAATACAAGGGATATCATCTTATACGGTATTGCTTGACAAGATCGATTAACTTGTAGGAATCTCAAATATAGAAAACTTTTCCTTAATTAAGGTTTAAAGTAAGACAAAATTACCTCCCTCTGTTAAATCTTATTATTTTAACTATTCATTTTCAGCTTCCTCCAGCTGATTTCGCTCCTCCCCCAAGATATGAATTACACTTTGGTACCCAGTGAGCACATCCAAGATTCATCGTTTTCGCTCATCATCTTGACGTACCTTATATACTTTTCCCCTATACTACTGTTAAGAATGTTGGAAGCATCCATTCAAGCTAAAATATGGGATTTCAATTCCAAATTTTGGTTCATAAACTCGGTTTTCGCACACTTAGAAGATATGACTAAATGTCAACAAAGCAGCATAGTTAATTTCGCTCCCCATAAATGACACGCTGTCATCAAGATCGAATCGTAAATTTTGCTCATTCACTCTTTATCTCACTATATCCTACATTGACTTTATAGCTCTGAATTAATCGAATAGGAGCGCTTTTTTAGCCAATTTCTGGTTTTCAATCATTCCCAAGAGATTGAAATAACAAAAGACACTGCGGCCATGTTGGATGATATAACAAAAGAGACTAATGATGAATCCGGCTGAAGTTCCTCCAACATGGCGGCTGTGAAAACCATTACTTGTTTATTATATAAACGTATAGTATAATTCTAGTTCCTAATGAACTTCGCACATCTTTTACGCAAACTATAATACCACAATAATGTGGATTATATCTGGGATAATTATTACTTTTTATAGGAGCAGAGATTACAGAAGAATATATATTTTAGGATCACTACTTTGAGTAAAAAATGCGAGATTATTTAAAGTGCATATGACACGAAAAAAATTTGATGTTAAAAATGTGTATTTTATTGGCATTAATAAGAATATCACGGTTAAATTTGTTTCAAAAACGTATTTCTCTAGAAATTCAAGAAAATTTAGCACAAGTTGTGACGTCATTTTGTTTACAAGTCTCCAGATTTAGTTGCAAATACACGAAATATGTTTGAATGTAGAATCTTAATTTCAGGTAGTACACTTTTCAGTTTCCCAACATTTGGAGAGTGCTACGTAAGCTATCAAATGAAGCTGAATAGAATATGCCTTTTGTTGTTATTTTATACGAATTACAATTTATATTTAGTACATTACTACCCAATCTAGAGTACGTGTCAACAAAATGACGTCACAAATTGGGCTTAATTTTCTCACATATCTCAAGAAATAAGCTTTTGAAACAAATTTTATTACGATATATTTATTATTACTAACAAACTATACATTTTAAACGATGAAATGTTTTCGTGTCATATACACTTTAAGGAAATTAAATAATATACCCGTGAAAAATAACCTTTGATTCCCTTGTTAGAGCTCCTTCAAATGCTAGACACTGGATGTCTGTTATGAATGTTTTTTTACTGACAAACATTAATTGAATAGCATATCTCCAAGCAAACACTACATCCGCAACTTGCATTTTATAATTCTTAAATAAATTATATTTTTATATATTTGGGTACTAGTCCAGGATTACTCTACCGGGACCCCCATTTAGATGAAAATAATAGTTTCAACCAAGGGAGCTCATTAAAATTTTGTTTGTGTAAGGAAAGTTATTGTTCTTGGTTGATCTATCTAGCGCGCGCAATCCATCTTGTGACAGGCGTTCCTCGTAGTGTTTTGGTTTCCGCCGATCCGAATTGCTTACGATTGTGTAAGGAAGGGAATGACGAGTGTAATAGTCGCTCCGCTCCTCGCAAAATATTCGTCGGTTTTCGGAGTAAATTCGCTAGCCCGACTAAAGCAAGGAACGCCTGCCATTAAGTGTAGCGCGCGCACGTAAACAAGAACTACAAGGAACGCCTGCTAAATCTTAGAATACGTGCTATAAAATCGAAGATAAACCAACACAATCAAAAGTTTAACGTGCTCCCTTGTTTCAACATCCTTCTAAAAAGGAATAGAGTACTTCAACGATACGGCGCGCGGCCATCTTGGATTGCAAGGTATTATTGGGCATCCAGGGCCGGGTTGTTCAAAGCTGGATTAGCGCTAATCCAGGATTAACTCTATAGGTCTTATTAAGAGTTAACCCCAGGATTAGCACCAATCGGGCTTTGACCAACTGGATCCAGGGAGAAAATAAAGCTTAATTACAGTAATGACGTCGATTGATATTAACAGCTCGCCAAAAGAGAATAAAACAAAAATTTAAAAAAAAATTAAGACGGCACATCGATATGGATAATGCCGAGAGGGGCCCAGGGGCCGAGGGGCCTGTGTAAGTACTGTTGAGTTACGGGCGACTAGCCTCGTTTTGATCATGTGCAATGTCTAATTATAGAACATATGCTCCAATATATTCTCACTTTCCGAAACAAAAAAAAATTTAAAAAAAAAAATTTGGCTTCCTTTATTTAAATATTTTTTGCTTGGTTACTAATGTCGTATCCAAAACCTTTTCAAAAATACCATTATAAGATACTTTCGATTTCAAGATACTATAAAGCAGTTTAAAGTTTGTTTGCCATACAGCAGAGGCTTTCGCAAGGGACCTTGAGCTGAATTGATTCGTTATCAAAGTCAGACATGTGTCAGCAAGCGACTGTTTGTTTGCAAAGGCCTATTGTTTTTATATATCGATATAAAGTAAATATCACTCTACCAGAACAGTTTATTGTATGCATGTAGGTATTGAACCAGCACCTGAAACTTTCATCACTTTACTTTCACGGAGAACTACTCAAGGTTATATAATTACTGCCTCTAGGGTTTCCAAATCAGACTAAATACTGAGTTGGAGAGTTATTTTTGTTATAAACTGGCATATACTCATGGACTTAACCGAGGGTAGCAACCACGATACCTGAAATGCAAATTTTAGTTCCAGCGCCAAAAGGGTTAAAATAGCAAGAAGTGGCTTGATACATTCCAAAGAAAGTGAAAGTATGCATGATAAGCCATGAACAAGATTATTTTAAAAAGCATAATTTCTTAAAAAGGCCTGGGTCGCAACTCAAAGTTTGAAGGTTTCCAGAAACCTTTTTTTCTGGTTTTCTTTCATCCCCAGTCTTTGATGATTGGTCAGTCGGCAAATTAAGCCGTCTTGTTGATCTGAAAAATTGGAGTAGCACTAAGAATTGTCTTCCGCTGACAGACTTTTGTGAAAATGTAAACATAATACCATGAAAATGTCCGGCTTTTTCCAATTGTCTGATGCAAAAATGCATGACCCCTAACCTAACGCCCAGCAAACGCTACGGCAGTCGATCTAGCTGTTTTCGAGGAACGGTACTTACCTTTCTCGTACCCTTTCGGTTCAGCATTTTTAGATTAACTGTATTTAAAATATCTATTTTTGAAAGCTCAAGTTTGTAGTTAGAAACCAAAAGTGCTGGAATTTTGTCAAAGAGAGAAAACGGACCTTGGTAAGTGTTTGTTTTAAATACTCTTTACTTCCGTCCTTAGATCAGTCACCATGGAACTCACTTATTACCGCGTTTAATATTACATCAAGCAAGGAATATTGGACTTATTTACAGGCTGCAACTCGCCGTTTCCATTTATAACAGAACTTCATCGATTCCTTAATTGTGTTCGCTGGCGTTAACGATCATCGTTTCTCGAAGCATTCTACTGTTCGATAACTAGGGTACAAGCGTACAACGACGGGATTTGACAGCACGTCTAGCTTGTGATGTTCATGGCAATAGATCTAAAAGTTCGTATTTCTATAGATGTCAACAGTTCATAGATGACATACATTTTCGTACATGTAGGACAACTTGTAGTCCTAGCTACTGAAGCCTAGGTTAGTTGAATAGTTCGAATTCCTTGAATAGACCAACGAAGCAGGCCTTTCGCGGAGGCCTTTGCATTGATGTCATATGCAACAAAACCTCCGTAAAGACCGGTTTAGACGGTATGATTTTCGCCTACAACTATTGTATACGACACGCTCGCCCCATCCTACAACTCGAGTTGTAACGTGTAAATCAAGCCTACAACTCGCCTACAGGCGCGAGCGTGTTGTATGCGATAGTTGTAGGCGAAAATCGTATCTAAATCGGCCTTAAGGAGGTTAAATTACACAGACGTCCGTTCCTCCGTCGGTAAATGAATAACTATAGCGCCAGAACACAATTATTTGAGCAAAATTTAATTGAATGATTTATGGCGCGCCGTTTTTTTTTTCAAAATTATTTTGTTCTCCTCCATAACAATAGGCATCGTGATACACCTTTCCTACTTTGGTAGGAAATGTGTATCTTTAATTCATCGCCACAAAGGCCTTTGTTGACTTTTCAGTTCATCATCACTGTAGACCAATCACCTATTCCTTAAAACCAATATGAAACTCGACCTACACCATGCTAAGGCAAGTTCCATGGGACTGTAATATCGGATTGATAGAGTTCAATATTAAGTTTGTCTTAAATTCTCTTATTTGACTGTGCATCTTTAATTTTATTTTCAGTGGAGACACACTTGGTTGAGTTGAAACATGGGTTTCATTTGGTTAGGCATGCTATTTCTGATTGCAGGAAATGGTATGTTAGCTGACGATAAATCAATATTCTTATTAATCTGCCCATAAAATGCGAGAAATATAAGTTTAGAACAAAGATGAAGTCAGGGCAAATGGCTTATCACGTGATAATGGTTGAAGGAGCGATGTGAGCACTTTTATATGCATAACGTCGAAGAGGTCATTGTGACTATCATGGTAACTGAATGCTTTGTACATGCATCGTTTGCTATTCCATTATGTAATAGCTAAATATACATAAACAAATACTTTTATGAGGATAGAGTAAAAATACGTTTTTTATTGATACTTCCTTGTAGAAAAGTAAACATGCCTTTAAACTTGTTCTGACACGAATCGGATTACAAGATGTTTTATTAATGTCTTATATTAACCCGCCATGTCATAAATGTACTTATAGTACACTCAACAAAATTACTCGACTCTGATTGGTCGAGAGGAGTACAATTATAGCGTTAATTGTACTCCGTAGGAGTACCGAATTAAGTCGCTATGGCAACACGGCCAAAACAATGTCAAAACAATTATTTTCTATCATTTTGTACTTAAAAAACATAAAAACAAAATTTTAAAGCCGTAAGAACTAATCTTTTTTATGCATTTCAGTTGCGCGATGGACTGAAAATCGGCCGCCAAATAGACAAACATGAACGGCGTCGCTTCGCATTTTTTACTGAAATTTTGTTGAGTGAACTATAAACAAAAAATCGCACGATCTTCTCGTACAATTTGGAATTAACAGACACTCGTAATGTTTTGAAAGTTCTTGTAATTGCACGAGCCTTTAGGCGAGCCTTTAGGCGAGTGCAATTAAAGAACTTTCAAAACATTACTCGTGTCTATTAATTTCTAAATTGTACTCAAGATCGTGCGATTTCCTWTACTAATATCTCAATAATAAATTAATAAAACTGAAGGAAAGGAATATTCCGAGGAGGGGGAAAACACCTCCTTTTGTTCAAAAAAAGTCCAAAGTCTAGGACTCTTGCTAAGCCTGTGTTTTGATGTGAATTATTGGATATCCTGTTGGAAACGCGTTAATTTAGACAAAACTAAAGCTACAACGATTTTTTTTTAGTTGCAATTGTCAAGGCAAATGACTGTTGGCAGACTTGTGTTAGCATCCATTACACAGTGGGGCTTTGTGAAGTCGCCGTTACACAGAGCGACGCAAACAGTGTTATGAATGAGGTAATTAGAATGTGATTACAGTTATTTCAATAAAGTTATTCATATCTGAAAAGCTACAAAGGTGAGACCGTCAAGGATTATGGGTAGATACATTTTACATGTTTCAATCGCTTGATAACTGTTGATGGGAACGAGATCTTTTACCATTTACCGTGAATTCACCTCCTCTGAGTATCCTCAACTGCTGCAGTTTGTGTCAAAAACACTTTACTTGTTGGATATGAAATATTTCCCATGATCCTCAGCGATCAGAGCTTTCTAGGTTTTTGGTGACTAACTTTATTGAAATAAGTATATAACATGATGAAACTGGACAATAATAGTAGTGTGCAATAAGTTTATCCTTCAACGAAAGGCGTCTAAAAGCTATAAATACCACAATTGTCCCTTTTCTTAATGCCCGTCCCACCCCAATGATTAAAGATTATAGGGTAATTTCAGCCATGGCCTTTCTTCAGTAGAGGTTTCCCGAATTCGATTGGATGACCACCAAACAATGGTTTGAAGTCGAGACTGGACTTGATTCTTTTATTTATCAAGTCCAACCTCCACTTGAAACCATTGTTTCGTGATCAGTCAAGGGAATTCGGGAAAGGCCTATTTGCCAACCACTTCGACCTCACCAAGCGTATCCTTGCTATAATACCCCCCCCCCCTCCCTCCTCAACACTGCCACCACCCATACGTACGTACTTTGTTTTTACCAAAGAACCATTATCTTCACTAGGGAGCACGGCAAACTGTTGGTTGTTTGTTTACTTAGCGTTTTTGCGTAATCCGATCTCTTGCTCTTCAACATGGTATGAATTTCAGCGATTTTACTCTGGAACAGGGTCAGGGTTCAGTGGGCTCAGCGGCACATTGCATCCCTACCCTAAACGGGCAAGAGTACCCACTCCCGGGTGTGGACAGTAATACAGCAGCATTTCCGGTGGATAATTCTCCAAAAAACGTCTTGGCATCCCGAGCTACATAGTCTCCCTCGCATCCGTTTTTAGTGTCGGTCGTCACGCATTACCAGACTTCACCAAGCGTTTAGCGTTTTGATCTAACATCATAGGTATACGATTAAATCTCTTTTCTAAAACGTTTAGGAAACATTTTGTCTAGAGAAATCTTTTCTTTGGCTTTTTCAACCATCAGTGTAAAAACATCAACAGTAAGATCACTTGTGTCCCGTTTTTTGTCTTAAGCCACCTATCTCAGGCGGTAAAATACTTCGCATTTACCATACCGATCATTATGTTGGTATTTTTCAATCACAGGTATTGAATAATGGAAAAGGCCAGCTGTCCTGTTCAGGTTTAACACTCAAGCTCCTTAACGTTACCATAACAACCCCTGGAAACCGATATTCCATTACAGGACTCTTTGGAGTCATATATGGTAACATGAATTCAAGTCAAAAATCTACTGCGCTGTCATGTCTTAGAAATGCCGTGATATTCAACGATATCGTGTTGAGACCAGATTACTATACGAGTCCTCTGAAAGGGTCTTACTGGGCAAACCGCGCATCGCTAACCAACTATCAAGATTCTATCTGTTATCTAATAAATGGGACGTTCCTGTTAAACGGCGTGTGCGGTGAGTTTTATACTATATAAGCAGGGCTGCTCTATTGGAGCGCAACCCTCTTCGATTCTTTAATATTTATCATTGAAAGGAATCCCGCCGAATCCCGCCGAATTCCTTTGTTTTCTATTTTCTTTTTGTGACTAGTACACTGTAATTAGTACACTTTTCATATGCCACGGGTTAATGAAAACCACTCTATCTTAGTAAAATCACTCAAGTGGTTTTCCATTGTGCAGATTAATATTTGAGATTGTAGAAAAATTATGTTGTATTCAATTAATGTTTCAAGCCAATACAACGATTAAATATGTCAATTTATTACAGAATCAGGTAATGTCAATGTTATTATTAATAATTGGGAATGAAAGATATAT